ACAACAACTTAGTTATCATGTCTGTTTAACACAAGAAACTAAATCAATGAACACAAATAGCAATCACGCTTATGCAACAAACTCATCAATATAATTTTAACGAAAAGATCGGAATCAATGTCTCTATTCCTTCACTGACTAGCCAATTTACTCCATTCAATATATATATATATATATATATATTCAAATCAACACCAAAAACAAGACACCCCGGGTGCCAAAATCGAAACTTTAACCAAAAAATAATCGAAGATCAAGAATTTCATTAAAGCACATACATAAGATCCATATCTACATCAACAACCATTATTATCAAATGCAGAAAAAGACACAAGACACCATTAAAAAAAAAATTAACAACAGATCAAGAAACCAAGAAAAGAATATGGTTGAACCATGAAATTTACCAGAAGCAAACCCTCTATGAGAAACAGAGATCCTAAGGTAAGAAGCAGCCCTTGAAGCCCACAACAATCTTGACGCCATAATAAGAGAAAGTGATGAATCTCAAACAAGCTCTGCTTCTCTTACAGAACACAGTACACTGACTTCAACTTCCCTTTTCTCGTACTACTGCCACTTGAGTTTTGATGTCTTGGAGGGTTGGTGGGAGTTTTATTTTTGTATATTAATTGTTGGTAAAATAAATAAATAAATAATTGGACTGTGTATATATTTATATAAAAAAGTCCAAAACGATTTACCCATTTTCAGTTAGGTCCTAAACACTGAAAATCCCAATGCTTCTGCCATCTATTATGACATTATCCAATTAATCCTCTCCTTGATTTTTTTTCCCTTTATATCATAAAAAAAACCCTATTCATGTTAAAACAAACTATTTTATTTTAATTTTTAAGAATACAATATTTGACAAGAAAGATTATTAAATAATCATACAAAATTATAAATATTATCATTGTAACTTACCTTGTATGAGAAAGTATTGCATTAAAACTATCTAATAAAAATAAAAGTCTCTTATTATACAAAGTGATTGAAGTTTTTCCAACTCAATAAATGGCCAATACATAGATGTAACTATACTGTCATATGTGAATATCATTAAATAATTAGTGAAAACAATTAGATTTTTATGATTAAAAAAATAAGGAAACTTTGAAAAAAAAGAGAAACAAAAAGAGACATAATATTTAATGTCTTTGATTATTATTTAAAAAATGATATTTATTAAAATTCTGATACTAGATAAGAGGAACTACTTTTTTCCTGAGAAGCCTAAATTTTTTGGTCATCTAATGATTGTTTATTTGAAAAATGGGGGATCTAATTGGAAATGTATTTTGTTTATAACCCAAATGAAAATAACATGGTAATTAGAGGAAAAACAAGATGTCAATTTCCCAAAATAAAAATAAAAGGGAGGATATGGTGGTGGGTCAATGTGTCAACAAACCCATTAGGCAGAGAGTTGGTGAGTGCTGACTATTCCTGCTGTCGCCATTTGCTAGTGACCGGTGCTCAGTGAGGGCCCTCGGATGGGGCTGGTGGGCTGCCGGTGGGAGATGTTTTCCTTTGAGGGTAAATTATGGTAGAGTTTCCTTGCAACTCTTGGAAATGAAATTCTCAATTTTTTGAGATTTCCATGCAATTCTTGGAAAACATTCGTCCAGATATGATGCATCCTTGATGAAGATATAGCAGTTTAGAATTGTGTTCCAAGCATTTCATAAGGTTTTGAATTTTTTTTCTTATATAATTTTTTTTATATATTTCTAAATAATTTTAACATTAATATAAAAAATAATTTAAAAAATATTATTAATACATTTTCAAAATAAAAATAAAAATAATAATTACTATTACATTCTAAATAACCTCTCCACTCTACGACAGAAAATAAATCCAGTTTTTGATGATCATAGGTCCACGTTTAAAGCTCTAAACTCAAGAACTAGAAAGCTTATAGCCCGAGGTTAAACGCAAACAAACATGTTGATATCAAGGTTGGATTTTAAGTTAATTTTCTTAAGGATTTTTACTAAATTTTTTTGAATTCTCTGAAGTTTAAACCACCCGTCATCCCACTTTTATGGGAGTGCCCAAATTACATACTAAATCTTGATTGAGTCCTCAAAATACTATTTTTCTCAATTAAGTTTCTTTTCGGAAGATAATTATTAACTACACTAATATGTTTAAAATATTCACAAATATTTAATATAAAAATAAAATTTTTACAAAATGGTGTCATTTTCAGCACGTAATATATGCAATATAGTGGAATCAATTGATGCATATAAACGAAGGGACTCAATTAGAATTATTGAACCTTTGGGAACTTAATTGGAACATAATTCTTTAAAATCCCAATTGGGAAATGAATTAAAGTTTTGGAACTAATTTGAGATTTATTATAGTTTCTTTACAAAATAGTCTACCAATTATGAAGTGCAAAAACAATATTTTTATCAATGTTTCATGAGGTATCTTTTCTTGTTGAGTCAAGATCTTCCTTTTTTTTAATAACATGATAATAATAATAAAAAATAACTATTTTTTTTAATGAAATAAAATAATTTAAAAGTATATTTAATATTATTTTTATTAAATTTCATTTGATAGGTGAATTTTATAATTTATAGATATAGGATTTAACCTATAATTTTATATTAAATCAAGCAAGAAATAATTCAATCAGATTCAATTATAAGTTAATATTTAATTTAATATTTTTTTTAAAAAAATTAATATTATTTTATTTTATATTCACTCAAGTCAATCGAGCTAGTTTGTCTAACTACTCACCCAAATATTATATCAAATCATGATTGGATCAAATTTAATAACTTTATGTAAAAGTGGGTTTATTGGAGTGTAACTTGTAGTACTTAAAAAGAGCTTAAATATTTTTTTTTCTTATAAATAACCAAATATTCTTTTTTGTTTAAATGAAATAAAAAAAATTTAAAGATACACATAATATTATTGTTATTAAATCTGATTAGATAAGTCAATTCGGTATATCAACTCATACAAAGTTTTATATTAAATTAGATAAAAGATGATTCAATCAGATCCAATCTACTCGGATATAAATTAATATCTAATTTATTTAAAAAAAATAAAATAATATCATTTTGTATTAACTCAAGTCAATTAAGTTAGTTTATCCATATAATAACCTGAATTTATCCAAATAATAATAACATAAGAATTATATCAAATCATGATTGGATAAAGTTTAATAATTTTATGTAAAAGTGGATTTGCTGGAGTGTAACTTATGGTATTTAAAGGGCTTAAATATTTTTTTTTTTGTTTAGAATTGTGTTCCAAGCATTTCATAAAGTTTTGAATTTTTTTCTTATATAAATTTTTTATATATATATTTTTAAATAATTTTAATGTATTAATATAAAAAATAATTTAAAAAATATTATTAATATATTTTCAAACAAAAAAATAAAAATATAATTACTATTACATTCTAAATAACCTCTCCACTCTACGACAAAAAATAAATCCAGCTTTTGATGATCATAGGTTCACGTTTAAAGCTCTAAACTCAAGACTTATGGCCCAAGGTTAAACGCAAACAGGCACGTTCATATCAAGGTTGGATTTTAAGTTGATTTTTTTAAGGATTTTTTACTAAAATTTTCTGAGTTTTTTGAAGTTTGAACTACCCGTCATCCCACTTTTATGGGAGTGCCCAAATTACATACTAAATCTTGATTGAGTCCTCAAAATACTATTTTTCTCAATTAAGTTTCTTTTCGGAAGATAATTATTAACTACACTAATATGTTTAAAATATTCACAAATATTTAATATAAAAATAAAATTTTTACAAAATGGTGTCATTTTCAGCACGTAATATATGCAATATAGTGGAATCAATTGATGCATATAAACGAAGGGACTCAATTAGAATTATTGAACCTTTGGGAACTTAATTGGAACATAATTCTTTAAAATCCCAATTGGGAAATGAATTAAAGTTTTGGAACTAATTTGAGATTTATTATAGTTTCTTTACAAAATAGTCTACCAATTATGAATTGCAAATAACAATATTTTTATCAATGTTTCGTAGATATCTTTTCTTGTTGAGTTAAGATTTTTTTTTTATATAACATGATAATAATAAAAAAATAACTATATAATTTTATATTAAATAGGTAAGAGATAATTCAATTAGATTCAATTATAAGTCAATATTTAATTTAATATTTTTTTAAAAAAATAATAATATATTATTTTATATTCATTCAAGCTAGTATGTCTAACTACTCACCCAAATATTATATCAACTCATGATTGGATCATGTTTAATAACTTTACGTAAAAGTGGGTTTGTTGGAGTATAACTTGTGGTACTTAAAAAGAGCTTAAATATTTTTTTTATAAATAATTAAATATCCTTTTTTTTAATGAAATAAAATTTTTTTAAAGATATATTAAATCTGATTAGATAAGTCAACTCGGTATTTGTTGATATAGAAAATCACTCATATAAAATTTTATATTAAATTAGATAAAAGATGATTCAGATCCAATCTACTTGGATAGAAGTTAATATCTAGTTTATTTAAAAAAAATAAAATAATATCATTTTGTATTAACTCAATTCAATTAAGTTAATCTATTTATATAATAACCTGAATTTATCCAAATAATAACAACCTAAGAATTATATCAAATCATGATTGGATAAAGTTTAATAACTTTATGTAAAAATGGATTTATTGGGGCTTAAATATTTTTTTCTTATAAATAACTGATCATTTTGGCACATGCATTCACTTCATTTGCATAATATATTATTTGGTAATAAAAAAAAAAGAGAACATAATGCAAATATTTCATAAAATTTGAAAAAAGAAATCATTAAAGTGAAACTATTTATTTTTTGAATACTCTTCTTATGTGTGGACATTGAGAAAACAATTATTTTCAATAACAACTTATTATAGTCAAATTCCATCCAAATATTTAACATGGAAAGGTGCTTTTTTATTTTTGTAAAAAAAATCATTTCCTATAATAGTATTCCATCCTTTTCTTTTGAGTTTTATGGACCTGATCAAGGAACATTAATCATGCAGGAAGAGCAGCCTCCATGCCCTTATGCATTGTTCTGATTACAGTGGTAACCTGTTCAATTTGATCTTCGCTTGAGCATGCTGATAGAAGTACTTTGGCAGTTCCTCCATCAGGGTGACATCCAGCATCAATCATTTCTTCAAAGATTTCCAAGCATCTTGCGTATAGTTTCTTTCTAGAGTAGGCTCCCAATCTTGAAGTCCAAGTCACAACATCAGGTTTCAGATTTTTGGTTGGAAGTGATTGGAAAATACCTTCCATTCTCTCGAAAAATCCTGCTCGTCCATATATGTTGATTAAGATGTTGTATGTACTGATATCAGCTCCATAAGGTCCCTTTTCCATTGCAGTCAGAACTTCCTCCATCTTTCCAAATTGGCCAAGCCGGCCATACAAGTGCATCATGCTGTTGAGGACAAACGTGTCTGGTTCAAGCCCAGATTCGCTCATCTGGTTAACAATTTCCTCGCATTTATCCACATTTCTTGCTCTTGAGTAGGCACAGAGAAGTAGCATGTGTGATTTCATTGTAGGGGTTATTCCTAGTCGCTTCATCTCATTGAATACCGCTTGAGCATCTAAAAAGCAAATAGGAGTAGCCAAATCATTAAGCCAAAATTACGAGGAGCATATACGAAAAACAAGAGGAACTTCTACCAAGTAGAAAAGGTGTTGCAAATCGATGAAATGCTGATAGCCTGATAATATCTCATACAACTTTATCTTGTTTCCTAGGAAATCTTAGAAAGATTATGGCAGATCTCCAGAATAGAATTGAACACTGTTCCAAAATATAATCCAA